CTGCTTCTCTCGATGTATAAACATTAACAGTCGAAGTTAATCATGTATTGACAATATATGAAATGATTAAGAGATATTCTTCCGATCACAAAAAAAAATTTCAACATTTGCTATTTATGGTGCTTATTCACGAACACACAATAACAAATAAATAAATATTATAACATTATTGTTGCGAAAATCGGAAGTGCTGTTCTTGATTTGATGGGCGAAAAAAGTTGGAAGTGCCGGGATCTGTTACCGGAACTTCTAATTGCACTGCACACTCCACCTCCACTAAACCACAGGCCACAGTTGCTTATGTTAAAACTCATCATATTTTGCACATTTTGAGTTAAACTTTTTTGGCAAAAATTGTAGATGACGTCATGAATTTTTTCGGGGGAATAAACAGATATATTTTCATTAACAATTTACCATGCTCACAATCAATTTTAACCATCTGCAAGATTTCAAAATATTCAGTTTAGCAATTCTTGATTTATTCACTAAAATAAAGTGACTGATTCATTTCTTTTTTTGAGTCACCCTGTATAAGCAAGTTAAAAAATTTCAATGCAATGATTAGTTACAAGTGTAGTCAGGTCATATACTTTATTCAGTAAAATTGTGAGAAGACGTAATGAATTTTTTTTGGGGTTGATAAAGAGATACATTTTGATTAAACAGTTACCATGCTTACAATAACTTCAAAACGTCAAGATTTCTAAGTATTCAGTTTTGCAAAATCAATTCACTCCGTCATTAATTTTTTTCAGACACCCTGTATAAGCAAATATCAAAAATTTTACAAGTATAGTCAGATCATATACTTTATTCAGCAAAATTCTGAGAAGACGTAATGCATTTTTTTTGGGGTTGATGAAGAGATACATTTTGATTAAACAGTTACCATGCTTACAATAACTTCAAAACGTCAAGATTTCTAAGTATTCAGTTTTGCAAAATCAATTCACTCCGTCATTAATTTTTTTCAGACACCCTGTATAAGCAAATATTAAAAATTTTAAAAGTATAGTCAGATCATATACTTTATTCAGCAAAATTGTGAGAAGACGTAATGAATTTTTTTTGGGGTTGATAAAGAGATACATTTTGATTAAACAGTTACCACGCTTACAATAACTTCAAAACGTCAAGATTTCTAAGTATTCAGTTTTGCAAAATCAATTCACTCCGTCATTAATTTTTTTCATACACCCTGTATAAGCAAATATTAAAAATTTTAATGCAGTGATAAATCACAAGTATGGACTCATCATACTTTACACATTGAAGATGGCATTTTTTCAGCAAAATTTTGGGGTGACGTCATAAATTTTTTAGGGGGGACGACCAAATACATTTTGATCAAACATTTACCATGCTTATGATAATTTTAAAATATCTTCAAGATTTCGAAGCATTCGGTTTTGTAGTTCCTGAGTAAATCAGTAAAATAAATTTACGCTTTCATTTATTTTCTTGAATCACCCTGTATATGCAAATCCAAAAAATATGAATGGAGTTATAGATCACAAGTACAGACTGATCATATTTTGTGCATTTTAGATATGATTTATTCGGCAAATTTTCGAGCTGACGTCAAGTTTTTGGAGGGGATAAGCAAATATATTTTGACTAAACATTTATTATGCTCTTTATAACCTTAAAACATCTGCAAGATGTCAGAGCATTCCGTTTTGTAATTCCTGATTAAATCAATAAAATATATTTGCGCATTCATTTTTTTTTTTTGAGTCACTCTGTATATGCAAATCCAAAAAATATGAATGGAGTGATAAATGACAAGTACAGGCTCATCATATTTTGTACATTTTAGATATGATTTATTCGGCAAACTTTCGAGCTGACGTCATCAAGTTTTTGGAGGGGATAAGCAAATATATTTTGACTAAACATTTATTATGCTCTTTATGACCTTAAAACATCTGCAAGATTTCAGAGCATTCGGTTTTGTAGTTCCTGATTAAATCAATAAAATATATTTACGCATTCATTAATTTTTTTGAGTCACCCTGTATATGCAAATCCAAAAAATATGAATGGAGTGATAGATCACAAGTACAGACTCATCATATTTTGTACATTTTAGATATGATTTATTCCACAAACTTTTGAGCTGACGTCATCAAGTTTTTGGAGGGGATAAGCAAATATTTTTTGACTAAAGATTTATGATGCTCTTTATAGCCTTAAAACATCTGCAACATTTCAAAGCATTCTGGTTAGCAGATTAAAAATTAAATTTCAAAATGTTGTTTTATAATTTTGATTTTTTTTCCAAAAATCTGGACGTTTCGGGTGAAAAGTCGATTCAGAGTTGTAAACTACATGTGTAGGACTATGTTATTTTATACAATTGAAAACCCATTTACTATGTACAATTTTGAAGTGACGTCATCGCTTTAGTGGTGGGGATGATTCGACAAATTTTGGTTAGCGTTTTACCATCTACATGATATTCTTAATATAAGTACAAAATTTCACAACAATCGGTCGAGTACTTTCGGAGATTATCTGTCTAATAAAAATCCGGGACAACAGACGGACAGACGGACAGACGGACAGATGGACAGACGGACGGACAGACGGACAGACGGACGGACAGACGGACAGACGGACAGACAGACGGAAATGGGAGACCTATTTCTTCGTCTTCTAGGGGTCATGAAAGATCGAGAAAACGTAAAAGTAGAGAGTCGGCCGACGGACTGGATTACAATACTTCCTTTGCTTACGCTCGGGAAGTAAAAATGATATAAATGCTGCATATGGAACAATCTAAAAAATACTATCATTTAAATATTATCAAAAAAATAGTTTTATGTATTAAAAGCAAAAAGGGAATGATTTCATTGTAACTCGCTAGCATAAAGATCTTAATCTCCATAAAAATGTTATATGAAACAAATTTGCATTAAGCCAACGATATTTTCTAAATTACCCGAAAAAAATTTGTCGAAGGTCGTTTCGACAGAACTTGCCTCGCCCCTGACGTATTATGAAACATACTCAGTATTTTCTGGAAATTATAAAACTTGATTTTGCGAATTTTATCTCTTTAAGAGAACCCTTTTAAGTTGAAATAAAGATATGTATGTAATGTTAAAGTAAATGTAAAGATGCGTGCTACGCGTGTGCCTGAATTGAGTTTTTTCAAATATAATATAACAAGTGGTCTGATTTTTTCCGACAAAATTTGTGACACAAATTACCGAGTAGCTGTTGCAACGAAAATCACACGAGTCGACGAAGGAGACGAGTGTGATTTTCCAAAAGCAACAGATACGAGTTAATTTTCACACAAATTTTGAAGAAAAAATCAGATCACGAGTTATATTCGGCTTGACAATCCAAAGAGAAAATTTTTATTTATTTTTTTACGGACAATAATTCACATATTTTATAGTTAGCGTAGTAGTTGAGTAACCATACCTACCTAGTCTAAATAGTAACAAAACAACAAGGCAAAACGTAAATAAATTTCTAAACATCAAATTTTGTGTGTGCTGCTGGTTGATTTTCTTAATTATGGGAGCAAGATTTGGTAACAAGACTGTTTGAAATTCGAAATGCAGTGAAAGAAAGTCAGTACCGAAACACTGCAAGAACGCAAGATTCAATTTGGAAGCAGTGTACAGAATTTTATGAAATACGCAAGTTTTCTCTAAATAAAGCAGTCGAAATGAACGAGGTGGCCAGTATTTTGGAAGATTATGCCTTTAACGCCAACAGAAAAGTAATTTGTATTATCATTTTTTTATTAAAGTTCATTTGACAAGTTTGACAAATTAATTTGACATAATTTATTTCGCTGAAAAACAGTGTTGTTGCCTGACAGAAAAATGTTTTTTCACTGAAAAAATTTTTCGGTGAATGCCATTGGACAAATTTCAAACAATTCTGCAATTGTATTGGTTAAGAATTTTCGAGTTGGATTGTCTTTACAAAATTTTGTGATGATTTCATCAACATTTTTGCAAAAGCATGTATATCAACTTAGATTGGTGTAGTGTAATACTAATAATAACTAAAAATTCGCAAAGTTTCGGGAAAATGGAGTGAGGTGTTCCTAATTTAATCAATAAAATAAGTTGACACATTAATTTTTGGAGCCACTGGTATAAGCAAATCTAACAACTGTGAATGCAATGTAACAAGTAATAAAAACTCGTCATATTTTGCACATTTTAGGTACGATTTTTTATTAGGCAATAATTTGAGGTGACATTATCAATTTGGGGGGGGGGGGGGGTTAATATCCTATTTTTGGCACTTGTTATAATTAAGTAGCTAGAAATTGATTACAAATAATTATCACTGATACTTAAATAATATATTCGAGGCTACTTGTGTTCTTAAAATATTTATTATGTTTACAAAAGTTGCTGTTTACTACACCACAACAAAAACTTCACTATGTATAAATTTGTTACAAGTATTAAAAGAAATTTAATTTTTTAAAAATTTTGGTTAAGTTTATCGTTCTTAGTTCAGTAAGGCACAATTAAAATCTAGTTTTAATTATAACGATTTAAAATAAATGTTTTGTTGCTTTTAAATGCAGTCAGTGAAATAATTTTAAAATAATAAGTAAGTATATAGGTACGTAATTTAAAGCAATAAAAGACAAGAGCGAAAAATCGGAAGAAATTCAAGGCACAGTCTGTAGAATCACATATTTTTAATATCCTTTTAAAGCAAAAGCGACAAAAATTAGGACTGTCTAAATGCATTTCAAGCTTTACCTGACATATTAACATTCTTATGCTAATGAGTGCATTGGCCTGGGTCAGTAAAGTTTTGCATACAGACAGTTCATTGGTAAACGCATAAATTAAGAATAAAATGCAAGTAAATCCCCATGCCCCTACTTATCAAGTAAATACCCGAGCACTCGCTATGTGTGCAAAACCTACATAATTTTTCCCAGCGTATCTTTAGAAGAACCGTAAACTTCATCAGTTGGCCTTGAACAGATAAACTACATTATAATAACAAAATCGTATATAAGCAGGACAATGGTTCTTCATTTTCCAGTTCAGCAGACAAAATGAAACAGTTCATTTTCTTCTTACTACACCTGTGTTTTATGTTCGCGTTCAGTGAGTTACATAATTAATTTCTTACACATTATGTTCTTCCAAATAATTAATTCTAGGCGAAAACTGCGACAAATATGGAATCAGATTATATGAGGATATGGCCTGCACACCTGAAAATAATGGGGGTCCATGCCCTACTAGTTTCAATTGCAAACTGACCTCAGCAGCTAACGAGTGTATGGTCCGCGGAAAAGTCTACAATTCAGGAGAAGCAATCCCAAAAGATAAATCTGGACATACTTGTGAATTTGGATGTTCCTGCAACCGGTAGGTAACAAATAAACAAAGTTGTACCTGTATTTTTTGTATACATACTATAATCTGATTTTCTGGATTAATGCGGGTCGTGTTCGGTTCACTAACAAGTATAGTAAGTATGTTTAATCACTTGATAACTAAACTCATTTTACGGGATCTTTACGAGTTGAGTGATTCAAAAATTCAGTTAAAATTACGTGTGGTGTGCACAATTTGCTGAACTACAAAAACCAAAGAAAAAGGACAAAAGCATAATTTGTGTTTGTATTTTTTATACGCTGGGAAAGATAATAAGGCATAAAACCTTTTTTGCCTCCGATGGAAGTCACCATTTTGCTTTTACTGACTTGGGAATAAGGAAAAGCTACAAAAGTTTAAGGTACCGGGCGTAAAATATATGAATAACAAACAATAGAATAAATGACAGACGTTTCGAAGAAAAATAGAAATCGGACAGTAGTTTTAAAATCTTTACACTTAAATGATTCAATAAATGCCAAAATATAAAGCGTTTTGTTCGGACTACATATTCTTCGTAAATTTATCAAACAATCTGATCATGTCACTCAGAATAGATTAGCACCAGTAGGCCAGAGTAGGTCACTTTTCAAATGTGACGCGATAAATGATCGGTAGTTATACTAGGCTCTTGGGATTAGGATGAGACTAAAAAATAATAGTAGACGAATTTGTATACTGTAATTCTAGGATCTCGAAAGTTACTTTATTAATCTAATCAATAAAAATATCATATTGGTCCTAAAACTCGTAATGATAATCTTGCCTGAATGGCGCTCATTTCAAGGTCAGTGATGGGTCTAAAAATAATAATAAAAATATTCATAAGTACGCATAACAGTTTTAACTACACACATCCAGACAAGTCCTTTTTTTCCTTTTTAGTTTTGTGTGACCTATCATGGCCATAGATATCACCCACTGATTTCGTTCTAGTTTAAACCAATGTGAGTTTCATCATTATTTTTAGACATTCCTTAGGTCCGGTATCCTAAACAAGATAAAAATTAATTTAACTTACAAACTGTGAAAATAAATTTGTAATTAGCATAATTTTCAACAACATTTACTAATCAAACTACACTATTAAAATATGTATTTTTAGCCCAGAAATAGGTTGTCCACAATGGGGTTGTGGGGACTGGGCAGATGTGCCTCCTGTACCTACAGATTGTTATAGAGAATATGAACTTGACGAATGCTGTTCGACTGGAATACGTTGTCGTAAGTAATTTTGAATTATAAAAATACTTTTTTCACTAGCAGCCATGACGCAAGCAAATGTCGACTCATTTAGAGGTAGGAAATTCAACTTTTGCGACCACCGGTTCAAAAAGAAAAAATGAGGTTATGTACGCAATGTTTGATGTGATTATTTCTTAAAAAATGAACAAATGTGTGCTACAAACATTACTTGAGTATACGCATGGTAGTTGGTAGACGGTAAAAGATAAAATGATTAACTCAGCGACAAGTATAAACGGCTTTCTTTGGGTTGAAGATTTAGATTAAGTTTGATTAGAAATCAAAACAAAATCATGTTGCGTCAAAAAATTTAACGTTTATTTTTTCAGTTTATTGTCTTATGGTTTCTACTAGTGAAAAAAATAGTATATTAACCACGGTTGCAAAGCCACTTCTAGACCTCGCGCTTCAGAGCCCTCGACGCTGCGCGTCTCGGGTTCTAATTTGCGCTCGGTCTAGAATGCTTGGCTCTGCAACCTTGGCTAATAATATACTATTTTGAAATACGAGCTTTGAAATCCATACGTACAGATGTCCTGTCAAATGTAAACAATAGCATGAAAAAAAAATCTTAATTTGCTTAACACACTTTTCTCTGCACGGCTTCTTTTTTAAACTACAGATCTACAAATGAATCATTTAGGAGATACGCATACTTCTGTGTAAACTGTAACTAAATTTTAACAAATATAACTACCACCAGTTAACATTTAAGTCTGTTTTTAAAAACCGAATTTACAAACCAGTTGTTCCGCTAAACCTAACCAAAAAAGAATTATATGGAACTTTTCATGTGAGTGACCACTTTTAAATTATTTGTATATGTACCTAAGTTTTAGCCACAAATTTTAAAATAATACAAATATGGTTTTAATCAATTCTTAAATAAAAACGAAACGATTTATCGAACAGATCGCTTTTGTACGAGCTACATTCTAGAGATAATCTTCTTTTTTTAGCTAATAACTTCTGAGTTATATGATGTTTTGTTTTAACAGTGACAATCGAACACGAAAAACTCATGTTCAAAAGTCGCACACAATGTCAAACCTCAGAGTCATAAAGTTATTGTTAGTTTTTGTTAATGAAAGCCGCAGTTTACACATTTTTTAAAAGAGGGAAACTAAACTATAAACACTTATTTCCTTATTTCACTAACAACCTCATTATTCTGAAAAATTATTAATGAAAAAAGCAAATTAAAATAGAACTTTGCAAAAACGCATCTCCGCTTCACAAAAAGTTATATACATATTATATTTATATAATATATAAAAATTCAAAAATTAATTTTGAAATGTATATTCAAAGTATTTATAACATTTATCTGTCTCCAAATCTATCATCGTTCTTTTCACCCCATATCTTTTAAATATCCCGAAATATGTCGTCTTTTTTGACCTATTTGCTGAGCTTATCTTGTATTAATTTATTGCACAGAGTACTTTAGATCGGTAAATTGACAAGCAATATATAAATATAAAATGTAAATCCTGTATTTTTATTTATTTTTACATTTTCCAGCACCATTCAACGATACCACCACATGTGTCATCGATGGAACTGAATACAAAGCTGGTCAAAAATTCTTCCCCAAAGACAGCTGCTACGCATGCTTGTGTCAAAAAGGATTTAATGGTAAATTTGAGGCACCGTTTTGCAAGAGACGTGGTTGTGATGCGCAAGTTAAACACCAAGAGCAAATACAAAAATCTTGTGCTGGGGTATACCTTAAGACACACAACGAAGGAGAAGCAAGATGTTGTCCTTCACAGTGGACTTGTCGTAAGTATCATGATAAAAATTAAAAACAAAAAAAAAACGAAATATACCTTCAGATGATGGTACTGAAATTATAAAGAGCGATGGAAACAAATCTAATTCTGCCACATGTAAATATGGAGACAAAATTCTACAAATCGGTGACCGTTTTGAAAAAGAAGTTAAAGTTACATTAGTTACTAAAACAAAAGTTAAATGTGAGTGTAAAATACCGCCCTTAGTTATGTGTCTAGAAGCTTGAATTTTCCCTGTTATTGTGAATCACGTTTTATAGACAGTTGAATTAATGTGGTAAAATAAACTTACATTCCTCTAAGTTGCTTTAATAAATGCACAATTTAAACTTTGGATTAGAGCAAGAGCAAACTGAAGGAAGTTCTGTGTGAAATTTAATTTCGGTGAGAAGGTAATGTTTGTTCTAAAATCCCTTGTTAAGTAAACGTCGTCGTTCAGGAGAAAGAAATACTTAAGTACTCGCACAAACTGAATATTTACGGTAAAAATTATAGAAAATTACAAGTTTAAATCAGAAGTAATACATAATTAGTTTAAAATCATTTAGATAGAACATCCGTCGTCACTGAAACATAATTCTTTCTGCATTAATGTTAAAGAGTATTTGTACGAAGATTCAGTACGTACATTAAGCATAACTTTATATACTCGTGCAAACTTTATTACGATTTTACTTTGTCCTACGAATTTTTGAGGAAATTAACTGGGTTATTTTTGCAATAATAGAAGCAATACTTATATAGACTTTCTGGAAAAAATGAAGACTTATTTAAATCGGTTCATACATTTTTTCTTTCTGGACATCGACTGTAAGAAGCCGTAAAAAGCTATTTATATATCAATGGCGCAAAAGAGAATTTTTCAGCCCGCAGATAAAATTTCTCGCATTCGCTCGTACTGCAAATCATCTAGGGCTGGAAAAGTCCGTTTACGCCAGAGACTGTATACAAATCTTTTTCCAACGGAACAGTAAAATTGTAAAAATTAAAAATCGTTTTGGAGTTTATTTATGACGAATCGTAATATCAATAAAACAATTTGCGATAGCAACGATGTAAACAGTGGCAGCCATTCTGCAAAAACGGCTTTCAAGTGACATTATAGAATAGTAATTGGGAATGGGTAATCTAACGAAGAAGATTGGTCATCTATGCCGCCAGATATAGTGGAAACAGCGAATATGGTCACACTGAACCTTCTCCGGAAAGAAAATATAACTGAAGAAATAAACCGTATTCCACAACATATACATGATTCGTGATTTTACATTATTAGGTATTTTTTTGTGAATTTTTTGTATTTTTTGCATCAATAGAAATAAAATATTAACATTTTTTTAAAGTACTTCATTTTTTATTCTGCATCAGAAAATGTCAAAAAATCTGGGTGTTCCATTAGAAAAAAAAGTAGGTGGCCTTATCTGCCAAACCGAAAGCGATAAAAAAAGGAAAAATATTCTAATCAAGTCGTCATGTTTAATTAAATATATCCACATTCCACAGTAAATTTAAAAAAAAAAAACTTTTCAAATAACAAAGTTATTTAACCGTTCCGGGACTTTAAACTAACCCTGTACATTTAAAATGTTGAAAGAAGACAGCTTATACATATATACATATCATGAACATGTTGCCAAAAACGTTTTGGTATAGTTATAAATCCCGCATCGTAATGTTTTCTATCATCATTTCATTACCATAGCAAAGAATACAGGAATCTAAAACTTCCAATACTAGACTTTTTTTCCACAACACTGTTACTTTTATCGGTATATCTTGCGCAGATAAAAACATATCATATAAGTTCCTTGGAAATTAATAAATTTTAAGTGTCCGGTAACAAACATAACGCTATCAATCTGTAATTCTAAAACATAAGTTACTTAATGATTAGTTGTAACAAAATATAGACGTTGCACATTGAAACTATGTTAACTCCTTTAGCACCGCAATATATGAAAACGCTGCTCTCATAAACTAAAAATGATTACATTTTTTGTTACCTATAAACTGTAATAAATTAATTATAGTTACCGAAATAAAAGTTTGAGCAGAGAGAGTAAAATAATGTCCGGCTTTGGTGTAGACACCTTGGGTTAATTTCATCTGAAGCAAAAGGAAAGATTTTTGAAACTTTATATCTGCCAAGTACCATGGGGTTTCATATAAATCCCACAAAATATCTGCTTTCTGTAACACAATGAAGAATTTCATAGTAAACGACAAATATACCGTCAACAACCTGGGTTAAAATTTCACCACTATAATTGTAAAGTAACAACATTATACTAGCCGTAATAATATAAGTACCTAAGCCAAAAAATGCTGATGAATTTCCCGACTAAAATATGTAAAATTATATACATTATGTTTGCAGTTTCAAAGAAAAACTTACTGTTATCAAGCTAAAAGCTATAAATACCACGTTAAACATTTGGCCAGCACATTTCACCATTAAAAATACACTTAATATGTCATCCACCTTTTCGCAAATTTGTAGTAAATCTAAATGATGCTTAACATTCTTAGATAAATACAGTGTGTTGATTCTGCTAAATTCTTCTGTTTCTATAGCAACAAAAATATCATGAAACCTTTCGTGAAGGAACCAATAACTTAAAAGCATATTTTAAAAATAATACGAACAGTTTAAAAGAAATTGTACTCTGCATTCTCCATGGTCAGGCGAAACTGAGTTACTCTTTTTTCGGAAATACCCCATGTTAAGAGCGCATAATAAAAACCGTTTTTCAAGTTGCTCCCTACAATCTGAAACTGTTGTCCCACCAGTATCACAATACAAGGATAAATCATGTCAGTCACTCCATAACAAATTCCTAAACATACTGCACAATAGAACTGCCAAATGTAACTAATTTCAAACATAGGCGATTTTTGATAATCGTATGGAAACCAAGCCGGAAGGGGCATTTGTCTGAAAACAACGTATACAGACAATAGTATATATTTGATAAAAATGTACGAACATATGTCCTGAGGCCAATGTGCTAAGTATAGGAGTTAGTACTGCAATTATGATATTTATAGTCCAAATAAATGCCATTCTATCGGTGAATTTCACAGGATCTTCCATTGTTAGTAACTCCGTTTTATTGTCGGATTTAAAGACAAACTTGCTGTTAATATCTTCAACTAAACTTACTAATTTGTTAGAATTATACGAGAAAAGAAAGAAGTGTATAAATAATGACCAATAAAAGGCTAAAAAAACATGTGTATAGTTATTTTACGTTATAACAACATACCAATATTCATGATGATCATAGCTTCATCAATTAAATTAAAGGGCGTTATGTACACGTACACGACACACTGAATCGTTGGTGTGACAAAAGCTAAAAAGTAAATAAGTTTCCAGAAATAATACGAAACTTTTTTTAACAAAGAGTTTTTTTTATCTATCGGATATAAAATAGACAACTTGATCATAAATACTGCTGTATTAAGAAATTTTAGCTTTGCCATTATGAAAATGGAACGACAATTAACTCAAATTATGTTAAGCTGTCTCTTAAATAGATACGCTGCCAAAGTTTAAAATGTTCTTATATAGGTCAGCTACAACCTGTAATTATTATGTTTCGAATAAGTGATTATATAATTATCCCAAAAATTGATAGACGATGAAAATTATTTCTTTTTTTTAACTTTGAAGTGACGAACTTAGTGTTATTAATAATTCATTTAAGGACAAAGAACTACTGACAAAGAAAACATGTAATGTAACTGAAAAGCTTATTGTTAATTATTTCCAAGACACAATTCATAATTAAAAACTGTGGGAGCTGAAATGACGTTTCACATAATAAGAGAAATATATTTTTTAAGGAAGATAAGTACATCCGTATCAACCTTATAGACCATATTATGGGTCAGTAAAAATATTAAAATACAAAAACTAAAATATTGTTGTGTAAATAAATATTTTCTTAATATGATCAGAAGTAAGTTTATCGTGGGCACCATGAATTTTAAAATACACAATTTACAAAGAAAAAATTTTAATGTGATGATGCATAAGTGTTGAACGGATAACGGAATTTTAAACAAGACAACATCGTGTAGAGATATTTAGAGAGTTTTGGAAAAGAAAAAATAAAAATATGAGAACTATATAAAAACAGTTACGGAAGAAAGAGAAAACACTCAAACCTTCTAACAAACGACGATTTTTATTATTTATTTTAGAGAATTATTTAAGGTTTATAACCAGACATGCTCAATGTGTAAGGAGTGGATACTAATCATCATTCTGCCTCTGAGTGAGATCAAGTATACTTAGTGATGGGACTCAAGAAAATTGTTGTAGAAACATCAAATTAAGCTAAAATAAGTACAAGTAGTAAATATTTTATTTTACTTTTTCTTATAAATTTGGCAAAAGAATTGTTTTATTAAATTTTAAAATGTGCTCCATTTGAAAACTCTGGCAATTCACTTTTTGGGAAGCAATTTTCCGAAAAACATCTTCAGAATTTCCACCCTTAGTACGGCGAAAAGCGATTACAGATTAACATAAATAAATAATAAATCTTTGTTAGGTAAGCATTGTTTTAACTGTATAATTTTATTCGATTTGTCAGACAGCATATGGTTGTAAACTTACTGGTGTATTTTTACTTCAAAATGCAAGGTTAATTTAGAAGAACCACAAAATTTTTGAATTTTCACCAGACAACTGACAATGGTGGCCGTAATTATAAAAGCTCTACTAATAAACTAACTTTTTGTACGACCATTGCTTTTTCGATCATTTACCGTACAGGTTTCCATAGCAGTAAGTTCAGTTTACGGGTTGCTACGACTAACAACCAAGAGGAGAACGGTAAGCAAATTACTTACTGTTCAGCTGAACGGTAAGTAATCAGGCATTCAAGATTTTTTTTATTTTAAATTCCATGCTTGTTCGACTTCGATATTTTCACTTTCAGAATCACTCATGATTGATATTTTAAGCAAATAAATCACTCATTAATAGTCGCGGAAAGAAAATTAACTCGAAATCAAGCCAGATCAAATCTAAATCGACAGCGGTCAAAATGGAAACTGATTTTTAAAATTGTTGTTTATATTAAAAGAAACCATAGTAACAAATTTTAAATAAAAAAAAAAGACCTCGTTGATGTTTGATATAAATTCTTTCAATTTATGAATTTGATAAAAAGACGCAAATCTTTTGATGGTCGTACAAAAAATAGTATAAGCATCACGAACGTTAAGGGGGTTTACTGGTCTCAGACAAATTGGAGACGTCGCTTCGGTCCGTCTCCAAACTTTTGTCTTCGACCAGTAAACACCCCTTACCGTTCTTAATACTTAATATACTATTATATATTAAAAACCATGACAATAAATTCAAGAATAAAAAATAATACTCCTGTTTGACAATTTGTCAAAGTATCTGTCAACAAGTTTCAAGAAATTTAACATGGATGTCAATGGGTATTCAATTAGAGAATTAGTGAGCATTCATTTTAGTTTATAGAGAGACACGCGCGGAGTAGCCCGTGTGACAGTACGTTTCCCTCACAGACTGTTACCCTCAAGAAGAATGTTCCAAGATCTGCACCAGCGACTCCAAGAGACGGGTCCCTTCTTACCTAGAAGAGTTGAACAAGGTCTACAACGTCCTCAACTAATTGTCAACATTGAAGAAGAAGTGGTAGATGCTGTACATGATGCTCCTGGAATAATACGATATGCCTTGCCCAGCGACTTAATTGTGTCTCGGTGGACCATTTGGAGAACATTGCGAGAACAGTTATTCTTATTACATCCATACCACGTTCAGCATGTACAAGATTTATCTCCCGCTGATTATCAACCCCGTTTTGCATTTGTAGTTGGTTTCTACGACAGCTAAAACAAAATCCCGACTTTCCTCGTGTTATTTTGGCATCAGACGAGGCAGGATTTACTCGTTCACGTTTGGGCACATGAAAATGCCATAAGACAAGCCCGTTTTCAGCCGAGGTTTTCATTAATCTGTGGGCCGGTATTGTAAACAATTATCTTATAGGACCTTTTGAACTACCCCCGGGGTTAACGGGTGCCGTTTATTGATGACTTTTAAAAAGAAATTTGCAGAAATTGTTGGAAGAATTGCCGCTAGATATCCGGGAAAGTATTTGGTTTCTACATGGGGGGGCGCCACCTTATTTTAGCCGTATGGTACGGCAATTTTTAAATGTTCAATTCCCTGAAAAATGGCTCGGGCGAGGTGTAGCTCAGCATTTGCCTGCCCGATTCTCAAATTTGAATCCACTAGATTTTTTCTTTTGAGGCCATATGAAATCGTTGATTTGTGCAGAAGAGATCAGGATAGAAAATCACCTTAGATAAGGAATCCATGAAGGCACTAATATCATTCGTGGAGACCCAGAAATGCTCCAACGAGTGCAGGGGCAATGAATCCGTCGTGCCATTAATGCTTATGCTAGAATTAATGGGGCAAAATTGCTAACACTAGTATTTAATTTTCTCTTTTTGGTAAAATTTATTATTGCATAGGTGGAGGCACATAAAGTTCTGACTTAACCATACGTTTTAAACTAAAATGTTATTAAGCTTTTAGAATAAAAAAAAGCATACTGCACCCTTTAAAATCTGCCACAATAAACCACCTCGTATATCTAAACTTTAATTTGCTAGAAGTGCCCTAATTTCTCTAGCATATTTTGATTTTCTGTAAAAACCTAAAAACCAACCACCAAGCAAATCAAACACTTATTGTTAAAGCATAATGAATTGGACCTAAATAATTTTGCTTCTCATATTAAATTTAATGATATTCAGCAATGCTTTTATTAAAAACCAACTCAGAGCTTTCGAATTTTGTGACCATATTAATTGGCTATCTATAAATCAAATACGTACTTAATTTTTAATTGTTGGAATTCCATTGAAAGAAAAAATAATACTCCTATAAATAATAAAATTACATTACCGATAAAATATAGGGTGTCCCACGTAACACTTTCGGGCGCAATAACTCAGGCATTTTTGAACAAATTGTTATGAAATTTGAAATGTAGGTATTTTGATAGGTGAGGGGTAATATGAACTGGTGAGAATAATCATTATCTTGAAAAAGTAAATTTTCCATGCCTTAATTTAATTTTGAATTAATTATGTTTTGCATCACTTGATTAAACATGAAAAATATATACTGTATGCAAAAATTCATCTCCAAAATACGTCTGGTTAGACAAAAAACGATAAATTGTTGCGCAAATAATTCCAAAAAGTATTAAAGGATCGGTAGTTATGAAACAAAAAACTGCTATCCTCGCATTTTGGACAGCCCTGCAGGAATGTGATACCTGTTTGCCAAGCATTATTTTATTAATTTTAAAAAAATACTAATTTTCAGTTACTCCACTACAACCTTTTCGAAGGTGCAAAATTGGTTTACGTTCAAAAATTAATTGTAACTTGAATGGAAATAATTTTGCTAGGTGTATTTACCACCATGTTTTTTTCACTAGTTTTAGGTCTTGTACACTTCCCGTATCTACAAATAAGTTTATTAGTTTATTATTCTCTGTACTTTGAATTTGGTAAATTCGTCGTCGGGATACCGTTCGATAAGAGTCCTGATTGTTTCATCTAGGTCTGTACGGCATTCTCCGTAGGCTAAAATGATTTCTGTTTTAATAATTAAAGAAAAGCGAACCATTTTCAATAACTTGTCCGTTTTTGAAAAAAATGTCAGGGGTGTACAAAATTGAACTCGGCGACGCAGGCAATTGTTTTGCACTATTCAATTTAAAAAAATTAATTAATTTTTGCGTTTTTATTAACGTAATTCTTTTAAACAAAAACACTGATTTAATTAATTTTTGGCGTTATTGTAGTTGCTTAAAGTTATAGCGTAATTTTGCATAATTTTTAACAACAGGAAGCTGTGTTAAAATTCGTTTTTTGTACGATAAAACAGTTATTTTTGTTATCAGCCTAATCTTTACTTGAGTAATTGCGTCCGAAAGTGTTACGTGGGACACCAGGTATATACAAAAAATCGGTGAACTCACTTTAAAAAAATGTACTCATAATAAAAAAATAATAATTGCGGCACACGCAATAAAAAGTGTTAATATATCACACCGTGTGAAAACTCAAGAACAAATGAACTCAGAACATCCGAATTATCCACGTTACAAACAAAACTTCCCCTGAATACATAGTTCGGGAAATAAAAATTAAGGAATAATAAAAATATGTATGCACTATATTTTAATTTGGGTAACGTTTTGTACTAATCAATCAATATAATTTGATTTTCTGCCAAATGTACAACAAACCATTGTACCATTGTACCATAAAATATTTAAAAAAAATGACGACTTGCATTGTCGACATATAAACTATGTTTTGTTTTTTGAAAATGGTCAAGTTAACTTTGTATCTTAAAAACTAGTAGTAATAACAAAATAAATATTCTTCCCGCCAACTGAACTTTATTAGGATTTATCGCTACAATAATATTCAACTATTAATAATGATAGATATGTAGGTAGAAATATTAAACTAGGTAGAGTAGAACTATTCGCCAAGAGTAAACAAAGTATCAAAAAACTATAACAGTTGTTAATATATTTAACCGATTCTATACTTTTACCTATTTATGCATACTAAATAGAAATGCAAATATTTCCTAGACTATAGGCAGGGATCCAATCTAACAAAAACCCTATTCTACCTGAAGTTATTATTCGTTAAACATTCTGCGTTTTAAAACAAAGATTTAAATCATCGATATTATTACTAGCCAAATTAAACTAAAAACCGGTAACAGTCGTTCCATGGAAAAGAAACTGCATCGCAACAAAAGGCTGTAACATAGGTTATGTAATCGCAGAACAATTTACTACATAATAAGCAAATGTGACTGGTAATTACCTAACTTAATAGATAAACTATGGATATTTTAACTATTGCACATGTGCACATTTTATATTATAGTTTTAATTTTATGCGTACCTATATGTGCTTGATATTTGTCAAGTCACCTCCATGGTCCATACGGCAATTGTTTAAAATTAAATAATAATAAAAAAAATATCGTAATCGCTATACCATGAATACAACTAGAAAAAAATAAAAACGATGTTTCCACTACTAACGAACTATAGTTCATGAAATACAGTTATTACACTGTTCGAGCTAAATATTACACAGATAACCTCTTAATGGATTCCTCACTTTCACAATTAAAAATACGGTGTCTATCACATGCTACTTAAAGTTGCTAGTTCCTGATATTAGTTATTAATCTACACCGAGTCGGTAATTTCGAAGTTGGTTGAAAAATCCTTTACACCACCTATTAATTTTTGAGATAATTATACAATCACTTTCTGTAAAGTTAAAACGTTATTAATTACACGTCTTATAGCTGACCTACTTTATAACGTTTTAAACTTTGGCACCGAGCTTATTTAAGGGTCCGTTTAGTGTTATTGGAACTAATTATCGTGTACTTGTACAATGACAAGGCTAAAGTATCTTCATAGCGCAATATTTTTGTTAAAAATGTCCATTTTATATCCAATAGATACACAGAATTCAAACACAAAAAAATGTTTATACTCTGTTTGGGCATTTCTTTATCTCTCGTCATTTATTACGGTTATGATTCAGTGTGTTGCTTACGTATATGTAACACCATTTAACTTGATTGAAGAAGCTATAATCATCATGAATATTGGTATGTACACAAAACTTTACTCGTGTGTGTAAAATGTGACGTTACATTTTTCAGTATTTCACGCGTCATTATTTATAAATTTTGGCCTCTTTTTCTATAATTCTACCAATTTCGTAAATTTAGTGACAGATATAAACAACAATTTTGCTTTTGAAACTGATAATCGAATTGAGCAACTTACAATGGAACAGTCTATAAATATGACGGATAAACTGGCACCTACTTGGACAGCTAGTCTGATTTTTGCATCCTTAGCACCTACATTAACATCCCTACTTTCAGGCGAAATGTTGGGCATTTAACCCCTTTTTACAAAAATAGTAACTCAAAGATTTTTTTAGAAAATTGCCACTGCTAGCTTGGTTTCCATATGATTACCAAAAGTCGCCTGTTTTTGAAATTACTTTTTGCTGGCAGTTTTATTGTGAAATATGTTTAGGAATTTTTTATGGAGCAACAGATGCAATTTATCCTTGTATAGTAATTCTAATGGGAGAACAGTTTCAGATTTTAGCAAATAATTTTAAAAATGGTTTTTATTATACCCTTCTGTCTCTCGGTGTTTCTAAGCAGGAAATAATAAAGTTCAGCTTAGCCTTGAAAAACACAGAGTACGAGAAGAATCTGTACTTATATTCTATATAATAACCTTTAAAATGTGTTCTTTTTTCAGTTTTTGGTCACTACGTGAAAACTTTAGTGACATTTTTATGATAATTAGTAAAAGAGAATTTCAAGAAAATAATACCACTTATCTACACAAAAACGTAAAACATCATCTAATTTTGCTGCAGTTCTGTGAAAGAGTAAACGAAATATTAAGCAAATTTTTACTGATAAAGTGCGGAGGTCAAATGTTTAATGTTGTATTTATCGCATTCAGTTTAATAACTGTAAGTAAATAACCTTAAATTATTTGTAAAATTTTATTTATTGCAGTCTGGAAATCCCGCAATGTTTCTGGGTTTATGTGCTTACATTTTTGCTGCGTGCAACATGCTGCTACTTTATAATTACAGCGGCCAAATTTTGACACAGGTTTCCCGAGGCACATTTATAAAGTAAAATATTGTTTCTGTTTGCTTTTATAGAAAACCGACATTTTATGGAATTTATATGAAAGCCCTTGGTATCTGGCTGATGGGGAATTTAAAAAAACCTTTCTTACAGTACAAATGAAAACTAGTCAAGAAATCTGCACTAAAGCTGGTTCTTATTTTTCACTTTCAGCTCCAACTTATATAACGGTATTCTTTTACTTTTGATAGAATTAACGCGTTAACAAAAATGTACGTTTTTAGTTCATGAAGACAGCATTTTCGTATATTGCCCTCTTGAAAGAATTAACTTTTAGAGGAAAATAAAGGAATCCCAACATTGTATTTAAAATGTGAGTTGCATTATAATGTGTCTGTTTTTCGTTTAATTAGAACGATATAATTTAGTAATGGTTATATTTGTAGTTTTTATTTTCTTTATAGTCTTTTCATATTCAAGTTTTCGAAATCATATCTATTTGAAAGTGCACTGAAGAACTGTAATATAACACTGATTAATTGCTTTTATTTAATAAAACAGCCTCATTTTCATATTTTGCTTTTATGTTAAAATCTAATAGTAACTCTTATTTAATTATTTCTGCCGGTCAGTGTATTTAATCTACACACTAGTGTTAAAAATGACAGGCCAGCAACAATTGTAACTATATTTATTTTTTATCAAAATACAACATAACTTAATTATATTTTTCCAGCATTTACATGTACAATAAAGTTTGAGCAGTTATTAATACTAAAGTTGTGGGAACGTGTACGTAACATCTTGTTATCAGAAACTTTATTCCAGGCATTACATGAAATATTTAAGAAAGATGAACCAGCGGAGTCGACACTGCTTAACACATTGGGCAAGAGTGAACCTTCGGAAGATGAAGGCGAAATTTTAGACATAATCCTTTCCTTTTCCTCAACGAAATTTCCGAGACGATTGTTAGATATTTTAACGAAGTTTTGATGGTAAAATCTGAAAGGCAATTCTATTCTAACCGTCCACGGAATCTTCGAGCTAGTCTTCTGCCACGGCAGATGACTTCCAACCGCCGCGCCGTAGCGTTTAATGGTTGTCATATTGGCCCCTGAATCAGCTAATAATGATGCGGATGATGTTCTAAAACAATGTCCGGTAAATTGTTTCGAATTTGGCAGTTTCTACAACTTGGCAATATCAGAGAGCATCTTTCGGAAAGTATAATATTAATACCAACCGGCTGAACAGTGCACTTATTGATTGAATACATGAAAATAAAACTATAATGACCTAATATATCGGTATTTGGAATCTGGTGCTGGTGCTGTGCTGTATAGGTACTCCTAGTATAAAAACATATAAAAAATAAAATATTTGAATTTTGGCCAGTCACCTAATATTAACCCCAGGAAGGGTTGGTAAGATTTTTGTTGGCATTGAGGGCTTGTAACTGTTTGAACTTTCAGTTCGGTACGTGTTCTATTCGGTGTTATTAGTTATTACCTATTTAGTCAGTGAGTATATCTTAAATGCTGTGGACGAGTATAAGCTTATAAAACTTGCTCCCCTGAAAAAGAAGAAAGATGATGAACTATTCTTTGCGTTACTTGAGGTTGACATTAAAGAGACATACAAAAAGGCTGTAAACGTTGGGCATTGCTTGGTCGGCTTGGATGCTTGTTCAATTTATTGCGGCATAGACATTATACGATGTTTCAAATGTAATGGATTTAATCATTCAGCCTCTACCTGTAAGAGTGAGTTAGTGTGCCGTCGATGTGCTGAAAGGCATGTTATAAAAGAATGCAAAGCTGTAAATCTTTGTTGTATTAATAGTTCGAATTTAAAATCAAAGGAGAACTTTGAAAACATAGCTGTTAAAAAGTTATTGGTATTGTGGGAGTACAGACATTATTCAAATACCCAATTATAGCTGTTAAACATGCTGCTTGGGGTTTTCTAAAGTGTCAAGCTCATCAACAGATAATCAATCAACTCAAACAGGATGTTTTTGGTATCTCCATATAGCAGTCAAATTTTTTGCCTATCGATCCTAGCCCTGTTTCAGATAATTATTCTTCAGTGTTATGCTATTATCAGAATGTTCGAGGTATCGAGGTTTGTGTATTAAACTAAAAGATTTTCACTTGGCATGCGCTTTAGACTCTAATTATATCTACTCTATTGCTCTGTCTGAAACATGGTTACATGTTACATAAAGGAATTTATGACGCCGAATTGTTTAATTTAGCTTTGTTTAATGTTTCCCGTAAAAATAGGAACTATTTGGCTACTGGACGTAAAAGGGATGGTGGAGTTTTATTACCAATTGATAGCAACGTCGATGCGACACTTGTAGACACTACTGCGATAAGGAAAGCTTTTATCCATGTTGTGCTTGTTAAAATATCTACCAATAATCTGAGAACCACGTATATAGTTGTTATTAACTACATACCACCATCTTGTGACTTAAACACTGTTAACATATTTTTTGACTGGCTACTGTCATTAGATATTTTATATAACTCCAATATTCTCGTAATGGGTGACTTCAATGTCCCAGAATTTGCTCTTTCTTCCTTCAACAGTATATCTTCCTCCCGATGCGTTTTAATAAAACAATTTATGAACTTGTTTAATCTTCAGCAATGTAATAAAATATTGAACTCCAAAAATGGACTCTTGGATTTTGTCTTCACCAACAGAAATCTTAATTGTTCCACTAGTAGATCTGCAGTTCCGCTTGTTGCAGAAGATGATTATCATCCTGCCCTCGACATAGAGTTCTTTATTCTTAGAAGTGCCATTGATACAGAATACAGCTTTCGCAAATGTAATTTCCACCTTTTATATGTCGCTCTGTCTGAAATTAATTGGGCTTATCTTTCGCAATGTTCTGACATAAATGATGCTGTCTCCATTATGTATAAAACCTTGAATCGTGCCTTTGAAATGTACGTGCCTAAGAAGAAAGCTGCCAAATATCAATACCCTCCGTGGTTCAATGGAAGTATAATCAAGAATTTAAAGCAGAAACATAATACTTGGAAATGTTATATTAAGACTGGATCGAGAGATGATTATGAATTATTTAAATCTTTACGGGCCCATACTAAATCAGAAATATATCATGCTTATAAATCCTAGGTAAATATCACCAATAGTAATCTAAAATCAGGCCCTAAGAAATTTTGGTCTTTAATAAAATCAAAAACTGACTCGGGTACGATTCCTTCTGGCATGATTTACGATGGCTGTGAACTTAATAAACCACAGGCTATGGTTAACGGTTTCGCTGACTACTTTTCAAAATCCTTCACTCCCAACAATGGGCAGCGAATCTATTCCACCCCAGATCTGATCAGGAATACCCTTTACATCAAGTCTGCGTCAGAATCGGAAGTTTTAATCGCTATTAAAGAGTTAAAACCGACTATGACATATCTTTTGCCAGCCTTTATGCATTATATATAATTTAATCCTAAAAACTAATGTATTTCCCAGTCAATGGAAAAATTCTCAGATCTGTCTTGTATACGAGTATAAAAAAGGTAATAAAACGGATTTGAAAAATTATCGTCCCATTGCTCATATTTCCAACTTTGCTAAGATCTTTGAAATTCTTCTACACGTTCCTCTTTACCGCCATACAATGCAAGCATTGAGTCAATATCAGCATGGGTTCATGAAAGGACGATCGACTGAAACTAATTTAGTTTCAATAACTCAGACCCTCTGCGAGGCAATAAACTGTCGGCAGGTGGACGTTATCTATACCGACTTTTCAAAACCGTTTGACCGTATCGATCATAGCCTCTTGTTGAGCAAACTGGAACATTTCGGTTTTTCAAACAGTATAAGCAAGTTACTTAGGTCATGTTTACATGATAGATACTCATTTGTCTATGTCAGGGGTTTCAAATCCAAAAGTTTCAAAAAGGAGACCGTAGTCCCTCAGGGATCCATATTGGGTCTCTGCTCTTTAACATCTTTATTGATGATGTCTCAGATGTTCTGGACGTTTCTTATCTCCTGTTTGCAGATGATCTTAAGATCTATAGTATAATTCATTCGAATGCTGATTCGTTGAAATTACAAAGAAACTTAGATGCTGTGGATAACTGGTGCTCTAAAAACAACTTTTATTTCAATTCTGAAAAATGTAAAGTGATGTCATTCACCCGCAAAAGTAAAACTACCTATATCCTGTGACTACCACATACGCGGCATCGTTCTTGTTAAACCTGATGTTATTTGCGATCTGGGGGTTTTCTTTGATTCAAAACTTTCTTTCAATTACCACGTAAATCAGATAGTAGATTCGGCCTACAAAACACTAGGTTTTGTCATACGCAGCGGTCGAGAATTCTCTGACCCAGATCCTTTAATGGTATATTAAAGAACGAGTTTTATAAGGCAAATATTGAGGCACTAATCCAAGATTATAAAACGAGCGGCGAAGCCGCGAGTTATATAAAAAATGAGTGCCACAATGGCCTTATGAACGAGTTATTTATACTATTTTTTTTTCTACCCAGGCACGTACCCAAGGGGGGCCTGGGAGGCACAGGCCACCCCAGCAAAACCCTGTGCCACCCCTGGTGCCCCCTTAAATTAATATTATATTTTAAAGGTAAAACAATTTAGAAATTTCAGATCAACAGTAAATTTTAGCTATGAGTAACCTTATGTTCTTATCTTGTAATGTAACTCTCTGAGTAAAGCGATACTGCTGTGAACAGTTTGGTCGATAACTTTTTTAAGCAATTAGCCTTTTACACACTATGCTGATTAGCACGCAGATTTTAAATGAATTCTCGTGGTGTTAGTCAATTTCAACTATTTGGACCCCATTCAATTTATATACTGGCTGTGATCCAAGTAAAATGTTGATTTATACTAATGAAGACTTTTTTAAAGGTCCCCTTATTTAAAATTAGTGCCCGGGCTGGGCCCCTCCAAAATAAAAGGCTAGTTACGTGCCATGCATTTTTATTGAAGAAGACATAGTGTTAATCCGACACACAATAATATAAAACTGAGTGCTCTGTAGAAAAGTGAGATTATAGTGGTTTATTTTTCGAAGTAATTGTTGAATTTTATACTTTCGGAGAGCTTTAAAAGGCCCCCGCGTTTTGGTAATGTTGCAACTTTGCTTATATATTGAATAACCAAGTAAACCACGAATAACATACTAGGTATCAAAAATCTAGAGTGTTTTTCTTGTATCATACTGATAAGAGTAGTCACCTTTGATTCCTTTGTTTCTTTTGTGTGGCTTACCTGTGTGTTTCAAGTTAGTCACCCTGACAAGCCCCTGGGTGTGAAAACAGTGTCCTTGTCTGTATCACCCCTCATTATTTTTGTCGCACCCATTTTGGTTGGCGTCTTATTATTATATAACACTTATTTACATATTTGTTTTTACCATGAGTGACAACTGTTTAAATTGTAGTAATCTGCCGAAGAACAATTATTCTCATTGCTACTGTTGCCAGGGACTTATACATTTTTCATGCAGGACTATCTGAAAATGAGTTCAAACTTACTAGATCCAAATCAAAGTTATTGAAATTGGTTTGCAATACATGGAACGCCAGTATTTCATAGTTTAAAAATATTCAAACACTGATAGATTCATTGAAGAAGCAATTTAATACCGATATGAATAATATTAAAGAAGATACTCAAATTAATTCTTTGAAAGGTTCCATTGAACAACTACAGCAAACTTAGGCTCAGCCTTCTATTGACTTTGAGGATGTTGTTCAGGAGGTAACTACACGTCTGAAAAGGAAAACTAATATTATTATTTTTGGCTTATCAGAACAGAATACAGAAGTTCCTTCTTCGGATCGTGCGGAAGCTGATCGCTCGATTTTAGTGGACGTTTTAACCGCATTACAACCTGATTTAAATCCTATGCAAATTACTTGTCACAGATTAGGACGTCATAATCCATCCAATAGTCGCCCGATACCTATTAAAGTTGTACTGGAGAAAGAACGTGACGTTATTAACATTATTCGAAATTCTGGTAAGCTGAAATCCATTGAACAATATCAAAATATTTCGGTATCTTATGATCGAACTCCCAGACAGCTTGCACAGTATAAACAAGTTAGGCAAGAATTATTGGAGAGAATCGATAAAGGTGAAAACAATATTAAACTGCGATATGTCAATGGCGTCCCTAAAATTCAACGGTTAAACTAATCCTGCCCAAATACAGTAATACTAGCATCGAATTCTATTATCAGAATGTAAAAGGACTACGCACTAAAGTAATTAATTTCTATAATAATATCTCACAAAGCAACTATGACATTGTAGGTTTAACTGAAACATCATTAACGGAAGATATCAGTGATGCAGAGCTTTTTCCCCTCAAACTATAATATATATCGAAGCGATGGCAACGCGGGCGCTTGCCACGCTTCTAGAGGAGGTAGGGTTTTGTTGACTATCAGCAACAGATTTCACAGTCGCAAAGTAGATGTGGAATTTATTAAGAATCTTGTTCCGATTATTGATTTAATAGGTGTAGAAGTTTTAATTATTATAAATTATTCATATTCGGTCTATATGTTCCTCCTTCCGTTAACATTGATTCCCTTAAATGTTTCTTCGATGATCTGTCATCACTGAAAGAAATGTACTATGGTCAAGTTATAATAATAGGTGACTTCAAGGCTTCGAACTACTTAAATAACTCCCGTCAAGACAAATACTCTTTACTAATCAAAAATTATCAAGTGCTGTTCAATATGACTCAAGTTAACAACATCAAACACTATTATGGTAGACTTCTAGATCTCATTATCACTAATACTAATTATATAGTGTCAAGGAAGTGTCCCATTGTCAATGAAGATTTGTATCATCCACCTTTATCAATGGAACTTTCATTTACTTCAAATCGTCATAGTAATGATTGCGGATATACGAATTATAAACGTTATAACTTTAAAAAAGCAAACTACCCTCTTTTATATAAAAATCTCTTACAAACAGATTGGTCATACCTGAACTTGTACCGACATTAACTT